TTGTCGTTGTGGAGACAAGATTTTCCATTCAGTAAGTCCTGAAATGTGCGAGAGAATATTTCCATTCTGTCAGAGCAAAGTTCTGCCTGTTTCGTGGCATGAATGATTCATTTTGCCCAGCTGCGATGTCACTGCTCTCTCCCCTCCCCACTTCTACTATTTTCCAGCCTTCCCCTTCTCAAGAGCCCGCGATCTCGTGGAGATAATGGAACTGCATCCATTCAAGCCCCCGAGGTACAACATTTATTTGTCTTTCTGGGAGGCGGACGAATGTCGTTTACCGTCTAATGTTAGGTGGGTCCCTCAGGATGGGGGAACAGCCTCCAGTTATGGATGTTAGCTGCGAATATATTGAATAAGTAGTCTCGGACAGCCGATAAGGGGTGGCCCTCCAACTTGGGGGTTGGGCGTAGTGCTAACAACCCTTCACCTTAAACTTTTTGTTACGAACACAATATTAAAACATCTAGCATATTGAGGATAGTTAAATATATTAGTATTAGATGGGTTTGACATGTAGCACGCAAAGGGGATTGCAAGGGATGCATTACAGGATTTTGGTGGGGAATCCTTCTGGAAAACGACCACTGGGCAGACCAATAAGGAGATGGGAGGATAATATTAAGATGGATCTTAGGGAGGTGGGCTGTGAGGATGGTAAATGGATGGGGTTAGCTTAGGATCGTGGCCGGTGGCGGGCTTTGGTGTTGAACCTGCGGATTCTGCTACCAGGGAGTTAGTTAATTAGTCTATTCTGATGAGCTGACCGGGTTGATATTCGGAGACCATGTTACCCTGATGATTCAGACAGCGTTGCTGTGCCAATGTTATTTTAATGTGGTATATCTGTTGGTGTATCTCTTAACACATGTTCGTCGGTTTACCAGAGCAAGATTATAAACATTCCCACTGTGAAAACATCTGTTTCTTTTAACTTTCATCAGGGTGGTCCAACTTTTTTCACTTTCTTTGGCCAAGAATAGTTTTTTCCTATTGGATCCCAAAGCCAAATAGCACTACTTTTTAAAACTAATGGAACTGAAATGAAAAATCATTATTTTCCCTCAAATCGTTCGGAATAAAGAACATAAATGAACTTGTATTAAATAGTAACAAATTAAGGAATTTTTGCGTACGTGGTTATAATTGGTCTCGGGTCGCATGTGGCCCGCGGGCCGCCAGTTGGACTACCTTGATCCGAATCATGTTTATATTTGTTAGTACAATTATAGATATACTGACAGGGGAAAGTGTTCAAACGCGAGCGTAGAACACAAAGGAAACATTTCTTTCAGTTCAGAGAGGATTTAGTTAATGATTTTTATAGTTGTGTACGTCAGATGTCGGAAAGTAAATTGGTAGAATTTTCTGTGGTAATAAATGCAGAAACGACTATATTCGAAAAGACTTTATGTTCGTGAGTGTTTTTATTCGTCTGTCAATGAAGATACAAGGAGTTTTGGAGACCTTAGCATATGCCCTATGATGATAATATTAAAATATATCTTAAAGAAATGGTTTGTGAAGAAATGGACTGGATTCAGACGCATATCAGGGTCTAGTGACTGTTTATTTAATTTTGATTCTGAGAGATTAAAAGCTTTTTAAAATGGAATCTGATTCATGTACTTCTTTACATAAGAAATATAAACGACAACACCTCCTGCGATATGAAATAAGTTTAAAGTTTAAAACGCAATTCGTTTTTTACGAGGTGCGATCGAAAGGTTTCAAGACTGCGCCTATAAAAACCCGTACACTTATCTCAGGTATTAAATTCATCCATCACCCTCGAAGTAGTTCCCCTGGGAGTGAACACAACGATCCCAGCGCCGCTGCCAAGCCTGGAAGCATCCCTGGAAATCTTTCTTTGCCAGCCTGTCAAGCACCATCTGCGATTCTGCCTGAATCTCTTCTATCGTCTCAAATCGCCTTCCCTTTAGCTGAATTTTCATCTTTGGGAAGAGGAAGAAGTCACACGACGAATAAGGATGGTGTGGGATGACGGCCATGGTGTCTGAGGCCAAAAACTGCCGAACTTTGAAGGCGGTGTGCGCTGGTGCGTTGTCATGATGCGTCGCATGTGGAGTTCTTCCTTTAGAATCAGCTGACAGGTCCCAAAGCCTATCCCAACAATGTCGTACAAGTCGTTGATGGTACGACGTCGATCTTCGTAACATTTTCGGGCGTTGTGCTCGAAGATGGTCGTCCAGAACGCTCGTCATCATCGACAGAGGTTCGGCCATTTTTAAAACGTGAATGCCACACAAAAGTTGGTGCACGACCCATTGCGGACTCCCCAAATGCTTGCTTGAGCATTTAATAGGTTTCCGTAGCCGTTTTGGCGAGTCTTTGGCAAAATTTGATGCACACGCCATTCCGAAATCGCACTACCAAAACGCCCGTAACTAAGAAACAAATGCTAATTCGATGATGCCGGCTGGCACACTGATTCACTATGAATGTAGGCCGCACCCCCTAGCGGCAGAAGCTCGTACTACATCCGGTTCGCCCTCTATTGACACAGTCTTGAAACGTTCCGATCGCACCTCGTGTATGCAGGAGTGAAACAGTTACTCAGAAAAATAATACAGCGAAATAAATGTCGCTGTAATTACATTTATAAATATCTCGCATTTCGGATTTACTCTCGAAAGATACAAAGTAAAAGTTAAGATGTGAGAATGGAACTGCGTACATCGCTGTCAGCATAAGCGGTCCTCAGGGAGAGAAAAATATGTCTGCCCTTTAATAATAAGAGTTAACGTCATGACTCTCGGATTCTACGTCGCAACACGGATTGGCTAAGATGATAATGACCTCAGTTCGTATCTATTATCATCGAAAGTTATAGTTCTTCCTACTATTCTAATATTTAAATTTCCAACAATTCAGTTGTTAAATAATATGCGCATTACAATCGGCAATTTTCCTGCAGAAATGAATTAATTATACCCCCTGAAGATGGATCTACAGAGCTGAAACAGACGGATTAATAACAAATTAAATATGTCCTTATAATTGTTTATATCCTCATTAAACTGTTTTAATTTATTTATATATATACATTGAATGCAACTGTAAAATATCCATTTTACAACTGAAATAGGACTGATGATGACGGAAGTAAACTTTTCTGAAACGTCGGTCAATATCTACCAAGTGTGACATTGGAGTGAGCTGGTCTTAGACAGGATAGACGAAAATGGAGGACCACATCACACCAGTTGAAAGACTGATGACAAACAAACAAACAAACAACATTTTACATAATGACGGGTAATTTTATCTACAATACATTAATAACACTGTTAATTACAAATTCAAGATCGTGAGGAGAGCGTTTGGAAGATACATGTATTCCACTGGAGTACACATTTACACTTTTGGTTTAACGAATTTTACTATTGAAATGTGAAAGAGAACTTAGCGCGCTTAAATTGTCTGTAAACTTGGCAGATGTTGGCTAACCTGAGTAGTTGGCACGACATATTCTGAACTCAGTCCGTCTAAGGCTTGTTTTCGCTTTATAGATCAAGTTTCAAAGTGAACTGACCTAATTGTTCTTTCATAGGACAAAGCTGAAAGAAACATTTCCAGTATAAATTCACGATTAAGGTAATTACAGTTAAAATAAAAATTAGAGCAGTAGAAACGTGAATTTAAGACATTCAGCTTCATTATTGGAGGTTATGTCTTTCTCTTTAGTTCTAAGTTTTGTCGTAAGTTGGCTCTGCAAATTTATTGCATTATTTCCGTAGTTAATTGTAAATGGTTAAATATTTTAAATGTATCTTGATGTATAAAGTGAAGTGGCTCGGAAATATGACGCAGAATTTGTTTTATCAATCGAGACAAATATTAAGATCTTCGCTTTCATGTAATTCAGAAACGTAAGTAATTAATTAAGCTAAGTAGCTAAGTAATTAATGCCTAAAAAAAGGCTTTACGTTGAAACCGAGAAGTAGACGGCTGGATTTTGCAGCGAGACCGGCATTTCTTCGTGCGTTAGCTTCATGATCTCGTTAACAGCGCCTGTATCAACTGTATAGGTTTCTTTTCACCGATCAACACAATTATTACTGACGATAAATAAGGAAGGAAGTGGTATTGAAGGTGGATGCAGAATTTGGCTGATTTCCGCCATAAGACTCAATTAGACTGACGAATAAGTTTTATTTAATTTCTGTATTTAACACGGAAGGGTCTTTATCCAACGAATTTAAGAATATTACCTTTTTATGTCAATGCCAGTCGTCAGAACCGATTCCAGAACCAGGGCTTCCCCTGTACAAATCTATCTATAGGATTCCAGGATCGATTCCAACCACTTCCGTTTATCGGAAATAGTAAAATTACAATCAGTGATCTGAATACGGGAGTAACGGTGCAAACTTAATAAATATAAATAAATTTAAGCCAATGGGCAATGTCGGAAACCTACGGCATAATGAATTAAATGTTGTTACAAACTTCTAGAGACTCAAACATCTTTCAGTAGCACTCGTTGTCCATTCTCCACCCCCCTCCCCCCCGACCCAAATCTGTCTTATTTATCACATTATATATTATGGGTTGACTCCACGGTGGTCTAGCGGTTAGAACGCTGGCCTTGTAATCCTGGGGTCTCGGGTTCGATTCCCGACGGTGCCCGAATTTATAACTTCCGTTGGACAAGGCCGTGGTCTAGGCAACACGGAGTTTTCCTCCGTGGCATCCCAACAATTACTCCATTCACACACAGAAGAAGGCAATGGCAAACCACTTCTGGATCATCTGCCAAGAACGTTTATGAACAGGTCCCAGTCCGAGAAAAGGATGGAAGGATCCTGTTCATATGGACCTGTCGTCAGACAGAACACTAAATAATAATAAATATTATGGGTTAGGCGTACAATTTTACACATACCAAATTGTAGTCTCGAACGATGTAACGCGATTTTAGGGTGTTTTAACCAATCACTGCGTTTGAGAGTTAGGTATCTTTGCTACCACATTTTATGCGCTTTAGTGTAAACGTAAAATTGAAAAGAGAAGGTTGTATTGGTGGATTAGCTGAGGTCAGTCGCATGGGTTAGTACAGAAATTTGACCCCACACGCAAATTACTTACCATTGTCTCACTTTCGGGTTTTTGAAAGTTCTGGGAGCTTTTTGTAGGATAATGTAAAAAAACGTCTGTGCTGGCGAGTGAGAAGCTTTTATTGACGAAAGAAATTTAACAGATACGTTCTCATCAGAAATAACTTACTTAAATAATATTTAGGTAAATACTTGACCTAATACGATTATAGGTTTTATAGTTCAGCCGTCAAGACGCCTGACTTCTTATTTGTGATTAACGTGAATTTACTAGCGTTTAAAAGCACAGTTCTTGTTTATCTCAAGACGCCTGACTGCTTATTTGTGATTAACGTGAATTTACCAGCGTTTAAAAGCACAGTTCTTGTTTATTACGGCTGGAAAAGATACATTGCATGTCAGTAAGGTTCACTAAGTAGGAATCCAAATAGGGAAATTCGTCTTTAGTCTCTACCGATTAGACCTTGTTGCAAATTCAAATTGAACATCTGAAAGCGTAAAGCGTTTTGAAGGCCTTTTTTGGTGGAAGTATAACAGAAAAGAAACATCCGGACAGACTTCCATGCCCAAAGTGGGATTCAAACCCATTATTGTACTGTTTGAACTATCCAAAAACTTCTGTGCATAGAACGCGCGACCGCTTTGGTCGGCAAATTAAAGAATTTAATTTGAAAAATAAATATTTCAATAATGACGTGAAGGTTAGATAATGGGTGTATTTAGAAATTATTCTAGATTCAGCAGCTCTAAATGCTCGACCAAGCCAATTTGATATGCGGTACGGCACGGTACAGTGATGCCAATTTTCACAGCGTTAAATTCAGTCTATACCGCTGTTCCGTGCCGTGCCGTTGCAGCGTATCGCGTTGTTTTGACCGGAACTTAACAGGTGCATCACAGCAATATTACGCTAATTTGACTAAACACATACATACTATCGCAATGTTACGTTTATCAGATTTGACTTTCTTACGGAAGGTGAAGTTGTCTTCTGAGTTGTGATGCTGTGTTGATTTGTAGATGAAAACCTGCGTTTCTGAAGGATCATAGTTAGACCGGTACCAACGTTTTGGAAGACCTGGTCCTTAAGGTGAAGGCAGTATATTACTCCGAAACGTTGGTACCTTCCTTCTTGTCCAACTCAGAAGACAGACGTCCACAAACTGTTCACTGGTTGTTCTTGGTTTATTTAAAGGCGTTTCTTTTAATTTTTTCGATGTGTAAAGTGGAATGATTACGTGGTTGGTGAATGGGATCTCAAGGTAAATATGAAATAAAAGATTTGTTGTGTGTTTATAGGTTATGTTAAATGAAAGACGGTCAACAAAGCCTGCAGCTGTCTTTCATTTTGTAAAACAAAACGCACACAACAGGTTGCAATAATAAGGATTTTAATACTTTTTAACTGTGAGAATATACAAGGTGCCCTAAAAAGATATATACACACATAGAACGTGTGAAAGAAATATATTTAAATAAACTAAGCCATGAATATAGTATAACGCTTCTATGACCCTGCATGTTGTGATTCAGGGGCAAATTCACGTGTATGATATGTCCAAAAAGATATATACATTCAGCGAATGAAATAAAAACATTTTAATAAACTAAATCATTACGTACGACAGAATCGGCTCTCAGTGAATTAGCGAATCTAGTGTAGGTGTTCAAAATGACCGCAGTTAGCTTCGTGGCGCGGTTGATAGCGGTCAGTGACTGACAAGACTCAATAAAAGAAATTTTCTTCACAGGATACTTTGTATAAAGAGATGTAGAAGAGTAAGGTTAAGTTCGATCCCCTGCTTTGCTCACTGTCACCAGTAAAGTGCGTTCACTTATCACTTGATGTTAACGACTACTGGCTGTGATGGCTGAGTGGTTTCATATGTTTATAAATGATGCAGATCCGGTGGGCGGCGCGGAGTCGGAGTCGTAGCAAGGAACGGAGGGCTTTGCGTAAGGACTACGACGAGTCGCAGGGTCAGGACTGCGTGGAGCCACGACTCAGAAAAGACAGCACGACGGACTACGCCGCTGACAATTCGTCGGAGCACAGCAGCACAGCAACCCCACTGACGCAGTCCCCACGGCACAGACTCCTCAACATACAGCACGGTAACCACGACCAACCCCCCATTTTATAGAACATTGACGAGTATGAATTAGACTACGTTGAAGAACGCAAAAATATACTTCCAGTGTAAATGTTGAAAATTATGTTGCTTCAAGCGTTTATATCTTCTATTATTATAAAAATTTGTGATTCCTCGTTGTCGTCAATAAATTACGTCATCAACAATGCCGAGTATAAACAAACTCGGCATTGTTGTAGAACACGACAATGCCGAGTACAACACAACAATGCCGAGTTTAGTGTCTTACTCAAGATTTTAAAACGCAACCAACCCCCCCGAAAGTGGGTTGGTTGCTTTTTAAACACTTGATCAAGCTCCCCCGAAAAAGGGGGTTGGTCAAGTATTTTAATCTTCCATTCGGGGGATTTAGTTTAGTTTCTTACACAAGATTTTAAAACGCAACCAACCCCCCCGAAGGGGTTCGTTGCTTTTTAAAAACGTGACCAACCCCTCCGAGGAGCTCCGAAAGGAGCGTTCTGCCCTAGTAATTAAAAATAGACCATTGTTATTTTATTGTGGGTAATAAAAAGGCGATTGGAAAACATTTGCAAGCTTCTTTTAAACAGAAACGTAGGTTTAGTGTAATGGCGGATTCATACGGATTTTGCAATTCACGTAAAAGAAATGAATTCATGAAGGGAATTTGCGTCTACTTATCTCGTGTTCCGAAACGAAATATTTCAGTATTTTAAACGAGAGAAATTTGTGTTTGGGTATACGTAAAGTTACGAGTTGTAATACAAATTCAGTTTATTTGAGGTTAGGTTATTTGCAAATACAAGTTCATAAACAATAATACCAGAATGAACTAATTAACATTGTCTCCCGTACTTTTATAAATGTAATGACCCTAACAAGAAGAGTAATACGACTTAAAAAATTGTCATTAAGAGTTTTCATGGTTTCTCCTGTTTCGTAACCTTTCTCAGGCCCAGTTTGACACTGAAAGTTTAATTCTGGAAATGTGTTTAGCACACGGGAAAATACGAAAGAAAGTGAAATGAAATTCCGTACGAGACATTTCATTATTTATAATTTGTGTATATGTATTTTCCATTCCTTGCACAAGTTGTGGCTTTCTTATGAGTTTATTACATTCTCACACGTACTTTGCTCCCTCTAAAACGTTTATGATCGCCGTGGCTATTTATGAACGCGATAAACAATTGTCTATATTTAGAATAAAGTAACGGCTTCAATAACC